ACCTATATCAAGCCCCGGAACCAAAATCCGAACCTGGTAGCCATAAAGTCAACATACGGTCAAACCTAAGAAATTTCCAAACCATCAAATTACTAGCTTTCGACAAAACAAGTCAAATCAAGTTAGAGACTTTCGAATTCAATTTCGGGCATACGTCCAAGTACAAAATCACGATACGAACCTACCGGGATCGTCAAAATACCAATCTGGGTTCGTTTACACAAAATGTTGACCGTAGTCAACTCAAGTTGTTTTTAGAGCCAAAAATTTTGTTTTCTTCAAATCTTCACATAAAAGTTTTTTAGGAAAAAGTCACGAACTGCGCACGCAAATCAAAAAACATTAAAATGGAGCTAATAGAGGTCTCGGAACATGAAAATATGGGCTAGTACTCAAAACGACATATCGGGTCGTCACACTTGCCTTCTTTGATCTCTTCTTCATTTAACTTGAAATCACCTTCAGTGTAGTATTGCCTAGTCACCTTTGATATAGATACACCATTCACTGATTTCTCAAACTTGACCTTATAATTTATCTTTTCAAGCTTGTCTATCAAGGCTTCACCTTCAATCAATGTGCATTTGTATTTGAATGTCTTTTCGTTAAGCTCATCAATCCGATTCTTTATAGACTTAGAGTTGATACCTGCACGAAAAAATATTCATTTTTAATTGTTAGTTCCATTAGAACTAACTACTCAAACAAAAACCTTCAGGCCCCCGCTGACAACCTTCAGCAAGATTGATTTGCCTGATGCTTCCAACACCACCATTCGCTTTTGACAAAATGTGCATAAGCTACACAATATTTTTGGTTAAGAGTTGGGTAGGGGCCGCGCGAACGCAGGCCCCGCTGCCACAAATTATGACGTAGGCTCGACCACTTGGGTCGACCTTAAGCGGGCACCCCTCCAAAGTGCAATGGAGGTCACCAACCTAGGCCATGGGGCTTGTTGATCGCCCATTGACCCCGTCCAGGTAAGTAAGTTTCCTTGATGCTCCTCTCTATGGTTTTATACACCTCTCTGATCCTCAGTTTTCTTTGTGCCAGCCGATGAGGGAGATCACCCATTTAAGCTTTCTCTACTTATATTCTTAATGAAATAAATATTTTTACTTAAAACTATGGTTGTTTTCGATTTAGACTAAATGTGAAGCAGTTGGCAATCACAAGGAGTTATCATAGGGGTTAACAGCCATAAACCCATGAGATATCAATCTTTGAGTAGATGGAATAAAAGTAGTTGCATGGAAATACAGATATGGCATATCGAAAAAGGGCAGAAACAGCAACTATACTGCTGTTTGCAATAAGCAGAGTATCTATCGTTGTCCCATATTAATTTTGCTTTTGATCCCAATGCAACAAGTTAGTTGTGTGTATCTTCTTTAAGCTTTTGATTATACTATGTTAAAATAGGCACTTTTGCTGTATCTATGTAACTATTGAGTATTAAATTATGTTTAGTTCATCGTCCAACAGTCAACCAAAACATATATTTGATGCTTCAATTTTTTCCTATTGATATCATAACTCTTGAAAAAACAATATTGTTCCAAGTGGAATCTGGAATGTCATCCTTCCTATAAAAAAGAAATAATTACTTCTCTGTTCTCAGATTTGGTGTAAAAAAAAACATGATATCCTCACAAAGAGAGAATAAAACAAACTTTATACTACAACTTTTAACTGAAACATAAGATTTACAAAAAGAATTACCACAAAGCCTCATATTCACTGATTACCATGCGGTATATGAAATCATTGACTATAATCGTTTGATAGCTACTTAAATTGACTATAATCTCCAGGTTTCAGGTCTTTACCATGGTCACGGCCGTAAAAGTCAATAATTGTTTGATAACTACTTAAATTGACACAAAATTATAAACACTGCTATTATGATTTATGAAATATAAAGATAGCACATTATACATATTCCAACAGTTTTACTTGTTAAGGAGAACAATTTCAAAGATCACTGGAACTATAATATAAGAGAGCAAGCACATATATTCATATTCCACAGTTTCACTTATTAAGAAGAACAATTTTAAGGAGCATTGGAACTATAATATAACAGAGCAAGTTAGGAGTACCTGTTTAGTTTCCAATTTAAAAATAACAGAGGATTTCAGAGGTCCTTAAAACAGTTATCTACTACAATGTTGCCGGTTTCACGGTTAAACACTAGCCCCTACTTTCTGCAAGATTCTGCAACCAGTAATATTTAACTGAAACGTAGGATTTACAAAAAGATATACCACAAAGCCTCATATTTATTTAACCTAAGTAGAAAACGAGTTTTAGTACTTGAATTGTTAGGGGAACTCAATAAAGAGAACACCCTCCAAAAATAGGCATATGCCACTAAATGCAGCTCACACACGGTATTCTTTAGTAAAAGGCGAAAGAATAGTTCGCTTTGTGCTCACTGCGTGGCTGCGTGATTTCTACAATGTCAATGCTTCCCTTTTTATATTGTTAGAATGTTTGGTTTTACTCTTTCTTATCGATGTGGGACGCGTCTTACTCCTTTTTGTTCAACTTTATGAATTCAGTACATGATTGACTATCATGTTGACCGTAGTTTTTACCATAATCAGATCTTGGTTCTATTGGAATCACCATACTGTTACTCTTCAAAAATGTCAGCCAAGTTAACTATGACAACTTCATGACCAAAAGGATTAAGGTAATGAGTGCTAAAATTGGGGTGTATTCAGGTAGCGAGTTACTCTTTAACAAAGGCAGAGGCTATTCGATCAATGTTAGGTGCTTCTGTGCCTCTTAAAGAGGCATCCATTAACTTTGTGATTCCAGCGTCAAGGGGTTTTGATTCGTTGAGTTCGCTACGCGGATATCTGTTTGGATTCTTAGCTTGGTCCGAAATGTATGTTTACAAAGTCATGTATGAGACATTAATCATGACAGGATCTCCCATACTAAGAGACCCAAGAGTTCGACAAGAGGCCGTCAATCTTTGCGATACTAATAGGGCTGTTAATGAGTCAGATTATCCACAGTTTTTCCACTACACTGGAGGAAGAATTAACTGCACAGACAAAGCTAGAGAAGAGTAGATTTCCCATTCTCTTTGCTGCGGCTCAAAATCTGACGCCCTATAGACAAAATTCAAACTTTGTTACTACTAATTTGTCTGAGCAGGACAATCAGCTTGTGAGGGAATTAATTGAGATTCACAACAGGGAAATGTCCAGGCCTGGCCGTACTATGCCTATCACAACAATAATCAACGATCTCACTGCTGACATTGAAGTTGACTGATAATGGTGTTTGTTTGGTTGACGCTTATCATTAGGCGTGCAAAGTTATTCTTATTGGTTTGTTGCATCAAAGTTGAAATAGTTGTTTCTGTCATGCGCTTGAATGTGTGATTTGATTAATTAAGATTGCTTATGTTTTGACAAGAAATGGAGTAAGATATTATGCCTCCACATAATATCAAGCCAGGTAAAGACAATATTGCATATCCGCAACTTCATATTATGAACATACATTTAGGAACATAACATTTGTTTGTGAATGTTGTGTGGTTAATAAATGATACTTTTTTAACATCCATGAATACCATGATTGACATGTATATTATTTACATTTTGGCAAGCAGTGATTTTCTAACAACCATCATGTTGGTAAGCACCTTTCTTGCATTGTTTGAGAAAAATGCTGGTACCTGAATAAATAAGATAAGTGTGCTAATAATGAAATAATAGATGGAGAAAGTAGTAGTGAGAGAATTAAAGTAGTTAGTTGCAGTTGCTATACCAATTTAAAAGAACTAATTGATTACCTAATAAACTTTGGCGCAGACGTGTAGATTTAGAGTTGTGCAGAAGACAGACTTGAGTAGTTGGAAAGAAGGAAAACAGGATGTCTGATTAAGTATAGGCATGATCAGGATTCTGAAGAAGACAGGCTTCCACAGCTTTGTACATAGCCAATACCCTCTCCTTGCCTGCTTTGATTTCCTCTTCATTCAGCTTGAAATCACCTTCAGTGTGGTATTGACTAGTCACTTTAGAGATAGAACCACCATCCGCCGATTGCTCATTAAGTTATCTTTTCAAGCTTGTCTATCAAGGCTTCACCTTTGATCAATGTGTATTTGTACATTAATGTCTTCTCGTTAAGCTCATCAATACAATAATTTATAGACAGAAAGTTGCTACCTTCTTATTTGCTTTATGCTTCCAACACCGCCAGCACCTTGCGCAAATTCGATGCTTTTAATAGCCTGTGGCAGCAGCTTTGGAATTAAGTTATGGGAATCAACAATGGAAGCCTAGAAGATCCTTGATGGGGAGACTGGTGAAGTGTGCTCGTCGGTGAAAGTGGTGATGCCCATGATCAGCTTCTAGTAGAAAACTCAAAGATGTTGTAAATAGCTAGGATGGAGAGGTTTTCTTGGATGGAAAAAGCTTAAGGAGTAACAAGGTACTTATAGGCTAAAATGAGAAATTATTAATTCTTGAAGTGTTTCCCATTGCAGATGGAAAACCATATTCTTTGGCCTGTCTTGTACTGTTTTTTTTTATAAGAACATAAGTTAATAATGCTTCCAAGACTTTGTAAAACTGCTCTTATCCATTATAATTTCTGGAGTCAGAACACAGTGAATCTGGTTTTTCCCCACTGATATAACTCCATTCCTCTGCTCTATAATAAGCTGCTGGAATACATTTTCCGTCCATTAACCTTATGTTCTTAATCGAAAATTGGCTTCAGAAGATTAAAGTTAAATTTAAGGATCAATCTGCTTTACCAAATTGTGTTCAACATTCTTAAACTGCAACGAAAAAATAAGACATGAGGAAACAAACAAAGATCAGAAATTTTTGCATGATGGTAATTGTCTCCTAATGCGCAGAGCCAGTTGGAAGTAAATTTAACTAGAAGAGCCAGTACTGATACAACATCAAAAACAACAACTACTTGATAGTATCATTGTATTGAGTCCCATAAAACAGGTGAAAAGATGAAAATTTAACTAATTTGTCAATGTCTAAAGATCACCACAAGTAGTTATTTGCATAAAGAAAAAGAAAGAAGAGAAATTGAGCGAAAATATTGTACTAAAGCATCTTCAAACTGCTTCAAATGACTATCAAGACCATATGGAATTCTAAAAACTATGTATGAAATCGCTCATTTGTTTCTGAAGCAAACGGGTTGCCTCTGATTCAGGATAAAACACATGATAAACATGAACCTGTCCCTCAGCTTCAACCAACTCCACTCTTTTCACACCATTCTTTTTCAAGAATTCAGCATACTTTACTCCCCTTTCTTTCAAAAAGTCCGAGCCAGCAACGAAAACTATCACTTCTGGAAACTGAGAAAACTCAGCGGCAGACATTTCAGCATTCTCAAAATTACATCCAAAATAATCACGGTTTGATCCTTGGGGCAAGCTCAGCCCCCAAAACATGTCGTTCATCTCCACTTTCCCGGCTGATCCATTAGCCATCTCTAATTCTGTCCTCTTTTCACTCCCAAAATAGGGATGAATTGGCAGCAACCCCTTAAGTCTACCACGAAAATCTTCATTTCTAGTCGCCCGGATAGCAACCTGATGAACTATATTGCCTCCAGCACTGTCCCCCGAAAGAAAAACCTGAGAAAGATCAGCCCTTTTCAGCCATGGTTCATATTCTAAGTTCTTGATCAGCCATTCCAATGCAGAATAACAATCTTCATAAGCTGTAGGAAGCTTATTTTCCGGTGCAAGGCGGTAGTCTACTGAAAGGATGATAGATTTGGAAGCAACACTTAAATCTCCAAGAAAAAGATGGTAACCAAGCCATGTAGTTGAGCCAATGCAAAATCCACCACCATGGAAATAGAGTAAAACAGGAAGCTGCTGGTTAATAACTCCTGATTCAGGAAAATCAGGGAGGTATATTCTACCAGATATTGGCTTTAAAGGGTCAATGATCACATCTTTGGACTTGTATCCATTGCATGGTTCAATTGATGCAGTGGCAATTTCAGGCTCGAATCGCTTAACTGAGCCATCGGAGAAAACTTGGATGTAACCAGGTGCTTCTGCAACTATGGACATCTTTTTTGGGGATGTGTTTAGATACCACTTGCTAATATGGCTTGGAATTGGAAGGTATTGCATTTTTCTGGGATTTATATAGAATTAATGGTTGGATGAAAAGTAGGGGAGATTTTGATACTAGAAGAAAGATAAATGAGAAGAAGATGGATAGTTGGTAGATCATACAAATTGCAATCAAGCTTGAAAAGAGGGAGAATGATTTTACAGCCTATATTCATGAAAAGGAAGTGAAGGTGGAATATGCGGAAGAAAATACATCTGTTGGAGTTGGTGAAGTAATCCAGTGAAATAAACAAAGTAAAAAAATGGAAACGCGCCAGGTAGGGGTCGAACCTACGACTTTCTGCTTAGGAAACAGACGCTCTATCCACTGAGCTACAGGCGCTTTTGTTGGTCATTTCTCTTAATATGTATACACACACACACACACACACACACACACACAAACACACACACACACACACACACACACACACACACAACACACACACACACACACACACACACACACACACTAAGAGAGCCTTCCTTAAAGTATCTATCTATTTTGTCAAGAAAGCATACAATAATCATCATCTTAAGATTTTGGAACAATGCCTTCCTCTATTGGTTGTGTCAGATGCCGTAATTTATTCGGAGAAAAAAAAGCTAATAAATTATCTAGGGATCGAATTGAGAAATGCAAAAACTACAAAAATATTTACTCTATTTGATGCAACGAAAAAGGAAAAACTAGAAATTATTCTGGGCTTTGATAAGCTGGTATGTCTATCTTACCCAAATTACCCTCAAACCTATCAAATTCTGCCTCCAATACAATCAACAACCTTAAATCTATAGAAGAATTAACTTGAAAATTCCTTGAGCCAATAGCACTGGACTACAAATGCTGTAGACGAGTCACAAGTGTACATATTTGATCAGGTAACATCTCTACAAGATACACTGGAAATCTAAAGCTATATTTCAACTGTAAGGTAATGTAGTCGTGGCAACTGCACTCATTGCTTCTAGATGTACAAGCACCTTAACTGGAAAAAAACAAGGAAAAACAGCAAAGACATATATGTACTATGTAGAGAAGCTTGTCACAGACACAAGTGTCCATTACTTTGCTACTTGTTCGGCCACTGGAATATTCTTCCAGATCTTGTCTAGCTCGTTGGTCTGCATTGGTGGCAAAGAGAACGCGCTGACAGTTGAACTTCCGCTACGAATCTCTTGCAAGACTCTCAGTGCTGAATATGTAAGTTTCAAGTACATGTTTTCCATGTTCTTTATATCTGCAAGTTCTTCAGGAACTTTAACTGGCTTCTCTCCGCCACCTCCTTCTCCTCCTCCGCTACCTCGTGCAATACCTTCTTCTGCTTCTGGGACTTTAAGCGGCTCAGTTTGGTATAAGAGGTGACTAAGAATTGTATCACACTCCTTTATTAGTTTATTTAGAACCTCAGTTTTAAAGAATGGCTCCTCGAGCACCTTTTGGATGAAAGGCAAACGAATAAGATCGCCACTGAGTTTGTCATATTTCTTTAAGATCTTCACTACTCCTGTGGAAAGCAAAATTAACAAAGCGAAATAATAAGTATAAACATAAATATTAAGTTGAGGGAAAAACTATTCCGATCATATCAGCATGAAGTTGAGGACAACTGAGAAAAGAAGAAGAAATCTAAAGTTTTGAGGAGCCAAAAATTCTTCAGAAAAAATTGAGCCACAAATTCCTGACTGATTAGCAATCAGCTTGTAACATGAGCCTTAAGAAAATCAATAGATTTATCGTGTCCATATATAGTAACAGAATTTGATCAAATGAGCTTAGCTGAGATACAGTTAGATAGGAACTCTTAATCTTGGCCGTACAGATTAGAATGCCCCAAGTTCTTTAAAAAATCTCATTCAAGATTACAGGCCATGCTCCAACAATCTACAGCTCATAGCTCACGTTCGCACACATTAAGCTAGCTAAGAATTTTCATTAATTGACAGATCCTTCACATAAACTGATCTACTTCTAATTATCATAACTCTACCAGCATCCTCAAGCTGTCAGAATCTCTTTTTTCATTGCTTTCACAATTTAAGATGTAAGAATATAAATCTCATAATGAAAGTGGAACATTAACATGTTCAAGAATAGTTCCATTTACAACATGGAATTCCATCCGAATCAGCCTACTTTAAGACATTAGTTAACACTGTTGACCCAACAAATAGAAATATCAACGAGTGGTACCTGTGTAGTTAAGAGCACTGTAATTCTCTAACAAAACCATCTCTCCGTGGAGATCCACGACGTCCCTACCTACTCTAATCAGCTCTTCATTTGTCTTTTTCATCTCAGCTACCATCTCTTTCAGAACCTGCAATCAACCAAAGGAAAGACAAAAACCAACTTCAGTCTCTTGCGTTAACTCAAACAGGGCAACAGAGGCATATGGGTTCGAGCTCGAAATTCTACCACATCCAACATGATTTACTGGGTTCAAAATCTATTATTTGTACTAATTTGGTGAAACTTTTAACACATATACAATATCTGAGCTAAAGCTACTTGGCTCGATATGAACTCGCAACATGCCATATTCCCAAACTCAATTACCCACCTAATATCAAAGGACTTGATTATCATTTCATTATTAATTGCCTAATTGCAAAGGTACCCAAGAAATTCAAACAATAATAGGTTAACCAAAAGTAACATGATAAAGGCACACAACAAATAAGCTACCATTCAAAATTAATCAGGTAACCATAAGAATAATAGGTATAGGAAACTTGCAAAATAAAAAGGGAAACAATTAAGATACCTTAAGCTGAATAATATAGTCCTCTTCTTTCTCCATAAAGAAATTGTTAAACTTCTCAATCTCCTCTTCCAACAGCTTCACAAAATCATTCACCTCCTTCGTAACAACCTCCCCCTTATCATCATCATCCACCTTCTGCCTTTTATTAGGCCTATCACCATCTTTAGGATAAATCAACTTCAATTCTTTCTTCAGATCCTTATAATTCAAGAACTTGTCTTGCCATTCAGGCAATGTTTCCTCTATATGGGCCTTCAATATTTTCCAGAACTTCATGATCCCTCCGAGAAAATTCAAGATTTGATTTTTCTGAAACACCCAATACGATAAAAAGTTTGAAAAACTGATTTTTCAGGAAACCCAATATAATTAAATTTCAAGAAAAGATCTCTGGCAAAGTATATGATTGAAAAAATGGAGTGAGAAATGGAGAAGGATAATAAAGAAAAAGAAGGGTATATAAAAGTAAGAGGTGTGTGGTGTGAGAAGTTAGCATACACGACGAATATTCGAAGCATGAATTCCCCCACTGGGTTAGAGGGGAATTGGCATAAAAGAGGAATATCCAAATTGGATATGCTGGCTTTCGGTGTTTAAATACTCTTTGGTTTGACCGTTTAAAGTAGTACTTCCTTGTCTCGTGGTGCCGTTTTCTGTTCGGAAATAAATATTACCTTTTTTATATAAAAATAATTATTTAATTTTTTATTTTACCTTAATATAATGATTTATATTAATACAAATAGTTTTAGTAATTTTCTTTACTTTCTTTTTGGGATTTCCTCTCAACAACAACCATAATTCAAATTCCAAATGTAGTTGAAAAGGATAAAGGTTAGCGTATTTAGATTTAGTGAGATATGTTTATTTCAATAATTCAATTGACAGGTTGAGGTTTGAGTTTTATTAGAAGTGCGTACGTTCGTTCTCTTAACAAAGTGGAGTAAAAAAAAATTAATTAAAATCGAATACAAAACTATACTTGAGCATGTTTATTCTAGCACTCAAATAATAAAAGTATTAATATTCAGTCCGTACATGAACAGTACCATCTATATTTGCAGAATTTGATATTCTTTGTTTAATTATTAAGTCTCGATACTTTCTCCTTAACTGTTACGTAGTATGTTATTTTTTCAATAAAACTTTGCATTATTTTACAAAAAAAGAATATTCCAAGCTTGAGCCACCCCCACCCCCCAAAAAAAAAAAGATTTGGCATAATAAAAGGAATATCCATATAGGATATGCTGGTTACGGTGGTTAAATACTCTTTGGTTTCACCGGTTGACGTAGTCTTTGTTATGTAGTTAACATTTCTGAGGCCAATACTTATGTTTTCAGTAATTTCTTTTTTTATCTTTTCAGTAATTTTCTTCACTTTCTTTTTGTGTTTTCCTTTTAACAGCAACTATACATCAATTCAAAATTAGATGAAAAGGATAAAGGCTAGCTCATTTAGTGAGATGTGTTTGATTTAAATCAACAGGGTGAGATTTGAGTTGCATGAGAAGTAAGTATGTCTTCTCTTCACAAAGTGAAGTAGGGAAAAGGACTCATTAAAAATTTCTTTTATAGTATATTTGAACACGTTTATTCTAGCACTTAAATAAATAAAGTACTAATATTCAGTCCGTACATGAGCAGTATCATCTGTATTCTGTCGATCTTGATACTTTTTTCTCAATGTTATAAATAAAGTACCAATATTCTGTCCGTACATGAGCAGTATCATTTGTATTTTGTCGATGTTGATACTTTCTCCTCAATGTTAAGTCTCGATACTTTCTCCTTAATTGTTAAGTTATTACGTCAATATGATATTTGTTTTCAAGAGAATTTGCATTGTATTCAAAGATTGTTGAAAATATTTTTGGAAAAAAAAAATTCTTCAATCTTTCAAAAGTTTTTTATCCAAATACCATTTAGAGATTTTCTGTAAATAATCTTTCAGTTTTTGTGTTAAATGGCATTTAACTGGAAAAAATCGAAAGTCTTTCAGTTTCCATCGTTTTCCTACAAACCATCCTTCTCCTTTTCCTATTTTACTTATGAGTTCGTCATTTTGTAGTTGTTTGATCTTCGAAGTTTGGAGTTAAAACTCATAGTATAAATTTAATAAAATAATATTCCTTGGACTAAATCGGACAATGGGCGGGACAAATTCAGGATATTCTTAGTGCAATGAGGATATTCTTAAACCTAAGTTTTAGCCAGTTAAAACGATTCCTAGTCAGAAAAATAGGGAGAAATGTTGTCATACAAACTGAATCTCGTAAAATTTAGAAGAATTATATACGATAGTAATAAAAAATATTACTGCTACTTAGTGTTGAAAAACTGAGGTGCGTGAGTGTCATAATGTCGTATAATATGACAATTTAGAAGCACATTTCACACTAGAGATTATAATCCAAAGAGAAAGTGTAATTTGCTTTATAATTTACAATCATCCTCCAATTATTAGAAAAAATATGCTCC